TGGGTTCCATATTCACGTGCCTCTGGCTATGGCTGCACTAACAAGTAGAGCAGCCCAAAATTGTTGGTGCTAAGGATCCAATGTCTGCGCTAGACACATTTCAAGGGGTTTTTACTTTCCTTTAGTTCTGGTGTGGTCCCACGGACAGAACACCTGTCAGTGGTTGGAGCGTAGCCGCTGGAGTGCATCTTCCAGTTCAGTGTCGTGTGGAAGCAACCCAGCTTGTATACTTAAGACATGAAAGAAAACACAGTAAGAGAGGACGTCCAGGAGCTAGCCTTCAGAAATACACCCCTGCTCCAAACTAATCTGCTAGTTGAGGTGCGTCCTGTGTTTCACCCTCACAGACGTGCTAGCATGGAATGAAATAAGTCACTAGAGTTTTCTGCCATTTCGTATAAGCTATGCCTCCATGCAAGGACAATAAACATTCTCAGAAGTCACACAGTACCTCAATCACTGTAATTAAAATACTGACCAGGCTAGACTCTTTGTGGGGGGAAATAAAGGAAGCCACACTGTTTTACAATGGATGAGGCTCAGATACTGAATTTTCTTATTAACATGCTGCTCTACATCTTTAAAGAGACAAAAATAAGACTTACTAGCTCAAAACAAATCAAAGATGCATTTTACAGCGAACACCAAAGAAAATCAGTATGGTGGTTTTAAATGTTTCACCTAGCCTCAATTTTAATTTCAATACGTGAGTGGGCTTCTAAGGAAAATGTTGAGCATTTCATAACCTAAGCTTTCCACATGCCCATTTTCATCCAGTTGTTGAAAAATGTAAAGGATTAAGAACTTTTTGCCTTAAATAGATGCAAATCATATTTTATTATTCATTTATGTAATGTACAGAGATGCAAATCATATTTCATTATTCATTTATGTAATCATGTTTTAGGAAGGGCAAAGAGACAGTAGAGGTGTAAAATAAACTCATTCAGGCCTTTTTATTTCCTAGTACCCAAGCATCTTCAGTGATGGAGAGATCAGGACAAAGTTTTTTTTATACTGAAAAGTCCAAATTTCAATCTTGCTTTGGCAAGGAAAAAAAAAAAAGAAAATGATCTCACACTGTTTAGAGGATAATTTTTTTGTTTTTCTCTCCTGGTGAAATATCATTTACAACTACAAGAATCACTGTCTGTTAAAGCATCCCCTTGACAGTTAACGTTGGTCATATAGCTTGTTCATGGCATCTGGGAAAGTAAACTCGAGGCATCGTCGGCAAGTGCCAGCAGAATGGCTCTGCCACAGTGGAAGAAAGGGATTCAACACAGCTAGAACCCAACTCTCCGCCTAGCTATCCCTAAGGAAGAGCTGGTAGAGTAAAAACTCCTCAGCAAAAAGCCAGAAAAAGAAGAGCATTCGCAAATGAACTACTTTTAAACACAGATGCAACCTAAGGAAGACAGCTGGTCTGGGGCTTGGAAGAAATACTGCAGTTGGAGAAGCGGGAACAAGAATGGCTCTGCATATTTTTCTCAAGCATAGTGACCAAAGCCCTCGGAAGCCTCTGGAGCATTAAGGTCATGGCTGGGAGTTTATATTCCCCTGCTGCTCACTCTGTTGTGTCTCTAACTGTCTTGTGTGGCTTATGAGAAAAGCCTGTGCTTTTAGCAAGTTCTTTTGCAAAGCACGCACTTTCTACTTTAGCAGTGATTCGTTCTTGACCAGCAGGATGATAAATTAGAGTGCTCAGGTAATTAGAAAACTGGGAAAAGCCCAGCACCGGCTGGGAGGGAACTAGGAGAAGTTTAGTACCTGTTTTAAGGCCTCGGGCACGCAAAGTAAGAGGACCTGCATTGCCACGGAGGTGGCCAGGCACAGTCCCTACAACCGCAGAATATGCACCTGAGGAACAGAGAGACTGGAACTGTTTTTTACCCAGACTTATCTGGCTAGAAAGCACGCAAGAAAGACCCATAATGAGCTCTCACTGTAGTAATCTGCTGACCATTCACTGCCAGGGTTGACAGTCCTAAGAAACTTCACCTTTTTCAGGAAACACAGCTAGAGCAATCCACTTCAAACATATTGAACGTCAGTAAAAATAAAGCAGCAGTTTCCTGCTTTACGGCATTGCTAGCTTCTGGCCTGTTAATCCCAATTGTCATAATGGCCCGGTGCTTTTCTGTGCTGACATCTCTCTTCCCACATGAGGACAAAAAAAACCAGTCAGACTAAAAACGCATTTGGGTTCATTAAGAAGGGTGTCTAGGATGCTTATGTTCTCCCGTTACATTTACTGTGACACTTCAAAATAAACACCAGAGGTGAACCTAGGGTATTATTTTTTTACCCCCACAGAAGTTACTTCTTCACAAATGTGATCCATCAGGAAGTATGATTTCAATTTTTACACTACCGTGTTTAAATGGATTTTGCTCAGTTTGTATTTAAAAATCAACAAATTAGAACATGGGCCATTTCCTGGGGATTAATAAGAATGACCAGCTGTGAAGAACGGATGGTCTCAGGCACAGCTGGGGACCACTAATCTCTGCACAAAATGAAAAATATTAAACTTTTCCTTAATGCCTTAGAGAGACCTAGTTGGGTCTGTAGGCATGCGCCATCTGTAGAGACTTCGTTCACAGAATCCTGCATGCTTCAAGTTGCTTGAAAACTCTCTTGGTAGTCCTCCTTCAAAAAACATTAACTTCTAATTAGGCAGTAATTGGGATTAAAGGAGAACAGAGAAAAATTAAGTTTTCTCGAGAAACAAGAACTCAAATGTACCAAGACATGAAATCCAGGAATTAAATTCTATTCTCAGGGTAAGGAACTAGCCTGCAAACCTTCTGAGAAGGGATTGTCCTTTAGGATGTGTTTGAACAGCATCTAGCAAAATGGCTCAGATTTCTAGGCACTATTGTAACACAAAACAATAAAAGTAACTGCAGGAATTTACACAGAACTACTCCAAACAACCCAGGTGAAATGGTGAGGACCATTCAAAGGTGAAGGTACGTTCCTCGTAAATGTTTTCAGTGCATATAGTTGAAAATACAATATTTTGACTTTAAATAGCACTATGGAGGGAGCTGATGCTTGAAATTCAGAAGAAACAATATGGCTGATTTTCAGTCTGTTTCATCCTACTTTCCTCAATACAGCCAGCTGCATTTACACAAACTAAGGTTCTGGCCTTATTACTCATTTCCGAGGGACCTGGGGAAGGACTCCTCTCTCCTTCTGCCTTGTACTGGTGGAAACATTAATGCCAAAACCCAAAACCTCTTCCACTAGAGAAAGAGGGCAGGGAGCCAGCCCCATGGCGGGACATACTCTGCGAAGAGGTCTGTCGATCCTGCGCAGCTATCTGTTCACACACTTGGGGGTAGAAAGGCTAATAGTTGTGGGAACAGGATATTTTGTCATATATTATTATTCTGGCTTGAGAGTGAGGAAAAACTGCTGGCTTTCCTTCTAAAGTTATTGTATTTTCAATTGCTCGCAAGGTCTCCCAGAGCCCAGAGAGGTATTCTGTTAAACACTGAAATAAATAAAAACTGCTGTCTGATTGGCCAGAGATGAATAATTTCTTCTACCCCCACATATATCCATCTAGGATGTGCTTATTTGTATGATATGTGAACTAATTGTTTAACACTACCCCAGAACACAGTATTGTTCACCCAGAGAAAGCTACACAATAGAAATTTATTGACTCATCACACTACTGTTTTTTAGCCAATTATGTGCCAGGATTTTTCCTTCGGATATATAACAATAGCAGAAAGACGCTTCATTTCCTTGGGACTATTACTCTCCTGGGTGGCAAAATTAAAATCAGCCTCTATAAAACACATTTGTGACAGCTTACAGCAACCCCAAACGGCACAGAGGGCATCCTTTACTCTTGTGCGCTATTAGCAGCCATCCGGAAAACTGAGGGGGGATAGAGGCGGTGCCGTGCGAAACTCGGTGCCGTGTGGGCCAGCGCAAAACCTGTTCGCCATCTCTGTCCCACCGGAAACTTCCACGCAGGACAGCGGCCATCACAAGCAACGGGGTCCAGAGGCGAGGGGACGGCAACAATCACGATAATGACTAAATAACGAGGCACCCGGTAGCAAACTGCCTTGCCACTGTCCTTAAAAAAAAACAATAATAATAAAAGCGACCTGTTCATTTCATTTCTTCGGCGATAGCTGCCAGGTGGAAGGAACCGCAAGGCCTTTCCCTTTCGCTCTCCTGCTGCAGGAGGCTGGGGGCGGCCGGGAAGGCCCCGCACCAGGCCTCGGCCCGGCCTCGCCCAGCCCTGGGCGAAGGAGGCGGAATTTTCCCCGGTCGCCCCGTTAGGCAGAATAAAGCCCACCAGCTCAACAGCAAAAACGCATCTCGGCGCGGGCGGGCCCGCAGGGCCCCG